TTGTACACTCAGAAAAGAAAACGAATTACGTGCCTACAGTAGCTGTCTGTCCCTTAAACCATACGTGGACGGACAAATCATAGGAGTTGGACAAAGGAATGGACATGAAGAAGGAAAGATGGGCAAAGGAATAGACGGGTAAACGGAGAGAGAGCGAATGGAGAAACAGAAGAAAGGACAGATGGATGAAAGAGATTAGCTAGACGGACTGATGAAAGCAATACTACTTTTCTTAAACTACTTAAAAGAGGGAATTGAAAGGATTAAAGTATTTATTTACAGAGAGAGAGAGAGTGTCAGGGGCCGGACCGTCTCCCAGAGTACCTGCCGCTGGAATACAATCATGGTGGCAGGGAGAACAGAGGAGTGATGGGGAGGGGAGGAATGATGGGGAGGGGAGAAATGATGGGGAGGGGAGGAATGGTGGGGAGGATAGGAGTGATGGGGAAGGGGAACGAGGATGGGGTAATAATAGCATAACACAATAGATAATTTACCACCACCACCACCACCACCACCCAGTTTAACAACAGGTGTGTGTGTGTGGGTGGAAGGGAGGGGGGGGGGTCACTTGGGTAAGGTAAACATGTTTTATGAGTGGTCAGGTAATGGTGTTTATCGTTTACAGTGGCAGAGATAATAGTGCAGTACAGTACAGTACAGTACAGTACAGTACAGTACAGTACAGTATGTTGCTCGGTAGAGACGGAGGTTAACATACACGCTGGTTATCCCTACAGTCCGGACCCGTCGTAGCCAGGCAGTTCAATCAACTCTCAGGACGTTGACGGCCTCAAAGTCGCGTCCATTATTTTTCCGGACTGTTCCTTTTGTTTTATAACTTTCTTCAACATTATTCAAGTGCTTTAAATTTATACTTGACTATGTGCTAAGGTCTTCAATATAGCTACACCGTTACTCCAACAGGTGGTTCCACAGTATAGATTTAGCAGTTTATCTTTTTTTTTATGAAATCGTCAAGCAAAGTGTAAGAGACGTTAGTATAGCACTAGGCTCTACCCTGGCGTGTGGTGTGGCGTGGTGCTGAGACGAGTCCTTAGTCTGACCAGTGGCATTTATGTTAAATAACCGAATTTACTTCCTGTTTATCAAATATTACTTACATGACGGGAGAAGCATCATCTCTGACCATTACACACACATTTACACCATTAATATGTTATAGTATATTGTTGTAACATACAAAAACCAACATATAAATACCATTTCTCTTCATACAAAGGCACATTTCATCATGGTTCAGGTTTGGCCCAAAGTTTACATGAAGAGCATGACTTATGTCCACACACTGTAGCAGACAGGATGCAATAATATTTATTTGTTTATCTTAATGACACTACAACCAAAAGTAAAATATCTTAATTGAGAGATTAAGTATTTCTTAACACAACAATATGGAGGTGCAACTGTCCCCTGACCTCTGTCCAGCGCGCGCAGAGACCTCCCTCTCCCCTTCGTCTCCTTACGTCACGTCACGTCACCTCGCCTTAACCCTACCGTCCAGCAGACAGACGTCATTGACGCTCTATTAATCTGTATTAAAACTATAACCAAATAAGAAATGATTGCAACAGGTGGAACTGCTGCCGACTAACCTATCATTGTCATTCACACAATAATGTTATTTATAAAAAACATCGTTTGCCAACTTCCTCGGTAAGTTTTTATTGTAAATTACATGTTAATAATTTGATGCAACTGTAAATAGAATCAAATAAACCCGTTATGTATTGCGTCATGAGAGTCACCCCGCCATAAGAGACACCATAATGAGACTCCAGCCCGTCCTCCTATCACACCTAAATTATGTGAGAGTTGCACTAAAAAAAAAAAAGAAGCATAAAATAGCTCAGACCTGAAGCACAAGCTGGGAATTCCACCCTAGTGTGCGGTAACACGTTCTAAGAATACTTTGTGTCTTGTCCTAGGGAGTTATGTCCTTGTTTAATACAGACTGTGTTGTAACTGTACAGGTAACTCCTTAAACCTCACCCCTCCCTCTAGTCCTCAACACTCCTCAACCCCCCAGAACCCGCCACCCCCTCACACACCGGCCCCCCCTCACACACCGGCCACCCCTCTCCCCCTCCACACAGGCCCCCTCCCCCTAACACCAGCCCCCCCTCCCCTAACACACCACCCCTCCCCTCACCACCGGCCCCTCTCCCCTCACACACCAGCCCCCTTCTCCCCTCACACACACGGCCCCCCTCCCCTCACACACCGGCCCCTCTCTCCCCTCACACACACCACACCCCCCCCCCTCCCCTCACACCCCCCCCCCCTCCCCCTCACACACCGGCCCCCCTCCCCCTCACACACACCGGGCCCCCTCCCCTCACACACCAGCCCCCTCCCCTCACCACAGCCCCCTCCCCTCACACACCAGCCCCCCTCCCCTCAACCAGCCCTCTCCCCCTCACACACAGCCCCCTCCCCACCAGCCCCTCTCCCCCCTCACTCGTGAATTTTTTGGATTCACGAGTTGATCTCTCAGGATTCACACCTCACGGAGAGGAAAATTGACAATTCTGAAGTGTACTAGTCGGAAATTTCCTAAACTGTTGGGTGGGTGGGTGGATGGGTGGAGGTGGGTGTGGTATTAGGTAGGTAACCATTCTTCCTTCTTCCTCTCTCACGCTTTCTGAATAAGAGGCAGTTCAATTTCCTTCCCTCCTCCTCCCCCTCCCTCCCTCCCTCCCTTCCCATAAAAGGTGTCCTTCCTTCCTTCCCTCCTCCCTTCCCATAAAGCAGGTCCCCCCCTTTCCCATAAAGCTGTCCTTCCCTCCTCCTCCTTTCCCATAAAGCTGTCCTTCCCTCCCTCCCTCCCTTCCCATAAAGCTGTCCTTCCCTCCCTCCTCCTTCCCCACACAGCCGTCCCTCCCTCCCCACACAGTCTTCCTTCCCTCCCTTCCCATGCGGCCATCCTTCCCTCCCTCCCTCCCCACACAGCCGTCCCCCTTACACGACCCTCCTTCCCACAAATCCCACATCAATTTTCCCTCTTAGATGAACGAGACAGATAACCAAGAGGAAAGCTTCCGCAGATTACATTTTTCCTCAAGAATGATGTGAGAATTGTGCTGAGGCGATGAACCCAAGTGGCGCCTCAGTCTACCAAATTGGGGGATTATTTTGCTTCTGACTACGTTCATTTTGTCTATGTTTTGTGGGGAATGGGGATGGGGAGGCGATTAGGGGGAGTAGGGAGGGGATAGGGAATGAGGGGTGGGGAGTAGGACTAGAGGGATGGGTGGGTGGGGAGGGTATAGGGAATGAAGGGTGGGAGAGGATAGGGAATGAGAGGTGAGGAGGGGTTGAAGGGATGAGGGAGGAGGGAGGAAGAGAGGGTTAAGAGGCCCTCCACACACTAGCTTCACTATCATCACCTGGAGGGAGGAGTGGAGGAGGGAAGGAGGATGAGGGGTGAGAGGAGGACGGGAGAGGGGGAGGGGGTAGGGGGTAGCAACAAGCCGTCAGGAAATATGTAAGTTCATTGGCCCTATAACACAGCACCGGGGAGCCTATATATGTGTGTGTGTATGTAAACCATCACCAATAACAAATGATGTTTAAACGGTACCCATTTTCAAGACGGAGCGGCAGCCATTTGGACCCTCCGTTCTGGCCAGACTGCATCAAGCTTGTCTAGAGAGGCCCCGGTGTGTGTGTGTGTGTGTGTGCTAGGGATGATGCACTGAATACATAAAGCTAATCTTGCACCATATGACGACAGGAAAGACAAACAGACAATCGTTAGTGTAAAGAAAAAGAAGAAACAGCTAAAGAATAAGAAACAGAACGAAAATATAAGAGAATAAACAATGAAAAATATCCCTGACCCCTTAAAATAAATACTACCCAATCCAGCTAAATCCTTTACGTTAAGCAATTAAACTCTAACACATGTTAACAGCTTACTGCTTCTATCATAAACAACACACCACCACAACAACCCACTAATTAAACTTATAATGCAAAACTTCAACGCAAAAACAATCACTATAAGTCACCATAAGTCACCATAAGTCACCATAAGTCACCTAACTCACCATAACTCACTATATCTCACCATACGTCACCATATCTCACCACGTCACCATAAATCACAATAACTCACCATAATTCACTATTGTATATAATGCTACACTCAGATTAAAAGTTCCCCATGAGGATAAAGATGTTATTACTTCACGTTCACCCCTGAGAGTATATTCTGACTTATGGGGGTGTTGGTAGCGTGTGTGTCAGGCAGGTGTTGGGGATTATTACAGGTGTACTCAGGTAAGCCGGGTACTGTATTATTCCTTTGTAAATTATATGTTTTTAACTTATATATCCATGACTTGTTTTCTTAAATCTGTTATTATGCAAAACAACCGGACAATTTTCAAAACAAACCAAAATTCTATAGTCCTTTTACAAAATGACCTTAAATGTTTAGCCATTTTTGCAAGTTGTACAAGTTGGTATGTCATAGAGGAATGGTCGGAGATGTGTGAGAACAATAACGAAATATGTCAACACAACCCCAGTAACACTCCTCATTATATACAGGTCAATATATACCTAATAGGAAACATAAATACAACATATCAAATTTTTCCATTACTTGTTTAGTCTTGGTGCCCAGTTTTAGTGAGTGCCCAGCAGTGGTGTATGTGTGTGTTTCTCTGTGTATGTTTCTCTGGGTTTGTGTTTCTGTGTGTGTTTCTGTGTGTATGTTTTCCTGGGTTTGTGTTTCTGTGTGTGTTTCTGTGTATAATAAATAAATAATAATAATAATGTGTGTTTGTATCTCTCTCTCTCTCTCTCTCTCTCTCTCTCTCTCTCTCTCTCTCTCTCTAATAATTGATGTTAATAGGAATACGACGACAACAAGAGGACGACGACAAGAGGACGACGACGAGGACGACGACAAGAGGACGACGACAACAAGAGGACGACAACGACAAGAGGACGACGACGACAAGAGGACGATGACAACAAGAGGACGACGACGACAAGAGGACGACGACGACAAGAGGACGACGACAACAAAGGACGACGACGATGACGACGACAAGAGGACGATGACAACAGGAGGACGACGACGACAGAGACGACGACGACGGACGATGACAACAAGAGGACGACGACGACAAGAGGACGACGACAACAAGAGGACGACGACAACAGAGGACGACGACAACAAGGACGACGACAAGACGACGACGAGGACGACGACGAGAGGACGACGACGACAAGAGGACGACGACAAGAGGACGATGACAACAAGAGGACGACGACAACAAGAGGACGATGACAACAAGAGGACGACGACAAGAGGACGACGACAAGAACGACACAAGAGGACGACCACAACAAGAGGACGACGACAACAGAGGACGACGACAACAAGAGGACGACGACAAGAGGACGACAACAAGAGGACGACGACAAGAGGACGACGACAAGAGGACGACAACAAGAGGACGACAACAAGAGGACGACGACAACAACGACGACAACAAGAGGACGACGACAACAAGAGGACGACAACAAGAGGACGACGACAACAAGAGGACGACGACAACGACAGACGACGACAAGAGGACGATGACAAGAGGACGACGACAACAAGAGGACGATGACAAGAGGACGATGACAAGAGGACGATGACAAGAGGACGACAATCTACTCTTATATACTGTACAGGGTGAGACATATTGATGATGCACCAGTCTATATGAGACACGTCTGTTGTTGAGCGTCAGAGAGCATACAGGAGGAACTTCACCGCACTCACGGCTGAATGAGAACAGTAACTTGCCATGACACTCCCCGGCCACACGACACTCCTGGCCACACCCCCCACTCCCCGCCACGACACTCCCCCACACGACACTCCCCTGGCCACACGACACCCCTGGCCACCCGCATCATCATCAACACTCCCCTGGCCATGACACCCCTGGCCACACGACACTCCCCTGGCCACACGACACTCCCCCTGGCCACACCGCATCATCATCTAGCCACACAACACTCCCCTGGCCACACGACACTTCCCCTGCCCACACAACACTCCCTTTGGCCACACAACACTCCCCTTGGCCACACCGTGTTATGAACTGGACATGTACGCAGAAATTCCTCACCATTACAGATGTACCTGAAGGGAAGGAGGTAAGTCTAGGTGAAGTTACCATTGCAGACGCCACGGGGCACAGACAGGGCTTCCTCAGGTGTAACTGCTCTGAGTTCCGTCAAAACAAGCACTCTGTTACACCAATAAGACCAAAAACAAATCTGAATAAGGAGAACTGATATTTTTTTTTCGTGTTTTATGGATTGAGGAGACTTTTCCTTCAATAAAACACTGTATTCCTTGCGTGATTATTGTCTGGTGTTTTTGCAAATTGGCCAATATTCTTGTCTGTTTGTAAATTGGCCGAATATTTCAGGTTACTTTGCAAAACCACCGGGTTCTTGGCCTATTTACAAATTGACCGGTCTCTTTGCAAAATAATCGATTTCACCAAAAAACGAATAATATACAAAAATACACACAAGGTTAGATAATAATAACAACAACAATAAATAATAATAATAATAATAACAACAATAACAACAAATAATAACAACAAATAATAATAATAATAATAATAATAATAATAATAATAATAATAATAATAATAATAATAATAATAATAAAACAAAAACAATAATAAAAATAATAACAACAACAAATAATAATAACAAAAAGACAATATACAGAGGAAGAAAAGAAAGCCGTAGAGAAGAGAACCAAGACATCATCAACTTGGTGGTGGTAAACACGGTGCAGAAGTTGGGTAGTTTACCAGCCTGGTCAACCATCATCCTCAGTCACTACCAATCTTTTCTTCCCTTTACAGGTTCAACGTGACTGTGTGTGTGTGTGTGTGGGGGGGGGGGGTTATGTGTACGTGTTTATTCTCACACACACACACACAATGTATAAACTTATTCTCCCTTCCAAACTACTCAAACTACAAACTTTGAAACATAAAACATTCAAACAAAAAATAAACACATAAATCCTAAAAGCAAAAACAAAAACAGACAAAATAAAAACTTTAGCGCATAGTTACACGATTTATAAATATATGTAGAGGAAGGAGGGGGGGAGGGAGAGAGGAAGGGAGGGGGAGAAAGGAGGGGAAGAGCAAGGGGAGGGGAGGGGAAGGAGGGGAGAGGAAGGGAAGGGGAGAGAGAGGGAGGGGGTAGGAAGGGGGAGAGGAAGGAAGGGGAGGGGAAGGAGGGGAGAGGAAGGAGGAAGGGAAGGGGAGAGAGGAAGGAGGGGAGAGAAAGGGGAGGGGGAGAGGAAGGGGAGGGGGAGAGAAAGGAAGGGAAGAGCAAGGGGGGGGAGGGGAAGGGAGGGGGAGAGGAAGGGAAGGGGGAGAGAGGAAGGGGAGGAGAGGAAGGAAGGGGGAGAGAGGAAGGAGGGGGTAGGGAAGGGGAGAGGAGAAGGGAAGGAGGGGAGAGGAAGGGGAGGGGAAGGGGAGGGGGAGAGGAAGGGGAAGGAGTGAGAATCATATAAACAATAATATTTACACGTGAAAACAGATTCCAAACATACCCACTCTATGGCTTGTGCACTCTATCACTCCAGACAAACACCGACTCTATATTGAGACTAAAATAAAATAAAAATTAATAAATATCATCTATTCAATCTATATAAAGTTTATACTAACTTCAACTCCACCTTCGAAAAATAATAATTAGGTTAAAATGAAAAACAAAAGTGAAAATTTGAGTTTTTTTATCGTAATTCATTTTTTTTATACAATTTATTTCACTACAGCATTAATGGGTTCATCTGTATTTAAACCAATCACACACACACACACACACACACACACACACACACACACACACACACTCACACACACACACACACACACACACACACACACACACACATTCACATATACAAACACAGCTGTTGGGACACATACTCAGCTCAACACACATATATACACATACAGGATATACACACACAGGGTACACAGCTTTAAGGGTCGTATGATATAATGACTTAACCTTTTAATACATAAAAAGTCAAAAGTGTATTATGTCATTTGCCTTTACTATAAAAATAATATGATTCATTTCTGGGTTATAAAAGTATGGAAGAGAGAGAGAGAGAGAGAGAGAGAGAGAGAGAGAGAGAGAGAGAGAGAGAGAGAGAGAGAGTTTTGTAAGAATCCGACTTATGATTGATCAAATAGTAGTAGTAGTAGTAGTAGTAGTAGTAGTAGTAGTAGTAGTAGTAGTAGTAGTAGTAGTAGTAGTCTCATTACTTAATAAAGTTATAAGTAATACCTCTATCCCATGTCCTCTTTCAGCTTGGCCTCCTCTCGTCCCTAACCTCCACTGTTTAATCACCCTACCTTCCCTACTCCTCTAACCTCCCCTCTTTAAACCACCCTACTCCCCTAACCTTCCCTCTTTAAACCACCCTACCTTCCCTAACCTTCCCTCTTTAAACCACCCTACCTTCCCTACTCCCCTAACCTTCCCTCTTTAAACCACCCTACCTTCCCTAACCTTCCCTCTTTAAACCACCCTACCTTCCCTACTCCCCTAACCTTCCCTCTTTAAACCACCCTACCTTCCCTACCCTAACCTTCCTCTTAAACCAATTCTACCTTCCTACTCTAACCTAAACCAATTCTACCTCCTCCCCCTAACCTTCCTCTACCACCCTACCTTCCCCCTACTTCCCTTAACCTTCCCTCTTTAAACCAATTCCCACCTCCTTAACCTTCCCTCTAAACCACCCTACCTTCCCTACTCCCTTAACCTTCCTCTTTAAACCACCCTACCTCCCCTAACCTTCCCTCTATAAAACCACCCTACCTTCCCCACTCCCTTAACCTTCCCTCTTAAACCACCCTACCTCCCCTAACCTTCCCTCTAAACCAATTCTACCTCTAACCTTCTCTTAAAACCACCCTACCTTCCCTACTCCCCTAACCTTCCCTCTTAAACCATCCTACCTCCCCTAGTTCCTTAACCTCCCCCCTTTAACCCCCCATAGCTCCTCTTTTAGCCCCTCCCGTTAGCCATCAAAGGAGGAGGAGGAGCATTGTGTAGGCCTGGACGTCGGGGTGTCGACACAAGGACAGACCTGGACTCGCCTCTCTCAAGTATAAACAATGGGCTCTCTCCTAGCATGACGAGACGCTTTTTTATGGGAGAACGCTCGTATGTGTGTGTGTGTGTGTGTGTGTGTGTGTGTGTGTGTGTGTGTGTGTGTGTGTGTGTGTGTGTGTGTGTGTGTGTGTGTGTGTCTGTGTGTGTGTGTGTGTGTGTGTGTCTGTGTGTGTGTGTGTGTTTAATAGTGGATGTAGGGGCGGATAAGGGTGGCAAAGTGAAGTGTTGAATAATGTAAAGTGATAAATATGATTTGAAATAAAGCAAAAGAAAAAGAAAAAGAAAAAATATATATATACACAAAGAACAAACTTGGTAAATAAACATGACAAATTCTAACTCCATCTGAACCTTTATCACCTGCAATTAGATAACCTGAAGATATTGCCCAAAGTGTCCAGGGAATAATGTCCGTAACTGTACACTAACACGATGCTAATCTATGTGTATCACAATTGTAAACTGTTGTGATAATTGATATGAATATTTGTAATGAGGTTAAAGAAAGGTGGAGGTGTGGAATCGGAGGTACATAGACGTGTTAGCTTCTGAGTTTTCAATACATCAGAGGTCAAACTGGAACTAAATTAACACACACACACACACACACACATACTGACCATTTCCCAAGACAGTGAACCATCCCCCAAGACACTGAACCATCCCCCCAAGACAGTGAACCATCCCCCAAGACAGTGAACCATCCCCCAAGACAGTGAACCATCCCCCACTGAACCATCCCAAGACAGTGAACCATCCCCCAAGACAGTGAACCATCCCCCAAGACAGTGAACCATCCCCAAGACAGTGAACCATCCCCCAAGACAGTGAACCGTCCCCAAGACAGTGAACCATCCCCAAGACAGTAGAACCATTCCCCATGACACTGAACCATCCCCCAAGACAGTGAACCATCCCCCAAGACAGTGAACCATCCCCCAAGACAGTGAACCATCCCCCAAGACAGTCTCACTTACCTTACTGTTTATGGTCTCCCAGCTCACCTGTTTTCCCCACACCTGTCTGCCCCACACCTATCTGCCCCACACCTGTCTGCCCCACACCTATCTGCCCCACACCTGTCTGCCACCTCAATCCTCACCTGAAAAAAAGAAACAAAAAAATTATTAGCATATAACCAACAAATAATTGAAGTTAACGCAACATAACACCTGTAAATACCATGACACTGACAGCTCAACACGACGCACACGCGGTAAGATCTGTGAAGAGACGCCAGCGAGTGACCTTTTCCACGGCTATTCCAAGATGTGGTCAGATGTACCTGATATAAACAAAAGAAGGAGAGAGAGAGAGAGAGAGAGAGAGAGAGAGAGAGAGAGAGAGAGAGAGAGAGAGAGAGAGAGAGCATTATCAACATAAATTGTTCAAGCTCCCAATATCTGAGACCCTCCCTGCGTCACTCTCATCCTCACCTCATTGCCTT